ATCTCCACTTTTCTCTTGTTTGCCAGAGACATGATTCGGACTTCAAATTTTACTGGTCAATTTGAGATGTGATAAGGAATAACGCATTTCTTCAGTTAGTCATTACTGTAATATTGACTAACGCCTTTTTTCTAGTTAGAGGTGTAATTAAACATTCCCCCAAAATCTAGTTTTAAACTTGATGAGTCTATAATCTGTAACAAGTCTCACGCCCCCGGGTCTCTAGACCTTTCCTTTATATTGGTCTTTATCTAACAACAGCTAAAATGGTTAAAACTCGGATCTGCTGTTTCCTAGCAGTGCCTCAGCGGTGTGTACGGTTTTTTTGGGCTCATTTGAAGGCGACGGGGGCTGACCTTTCTTCTGAATTGAATGGTCAATGCCCATGTCGCCAAACCCAACACTTGTAATTATTGTCTGCTCAGGTGAAACCCTATTAATTAACCATGGTTTACCTGTCAACGGGGTACGTGGTAACGTACGCTATCTATATCGCACAGACACGTGCATTGAGGGAGTTAAATTGGCAATAAAGATGAGCCGGCGACAATCACGGTTGGTTAGGTGGAAGTTTGCTATATTGTTAAATTGGCAGACACCGTTTCTTTGATGTCTCGTTAACGGGTGTGAGACAGATCCGGATGCATTGTACAGATATACGTACTAAGTTCGTATCGTATTTCTAGATTACTTCGATAGAGTTGCACGTTCACTTCCGCACCAATGTGCACTTTATTGCAGAGAGTTAAAAACCAATTTGGGTCCAGATTCAAAACTCATATAAAGATAAAAAGACATTTGTCTTGAACTGTCGTACGCGATGACATATTCGGGAATCCTACATGTTGGCGATGCCGTAGGGGTAGAAACAGCTAGCGTTATATTGACTGGTTAGTTGATTTAAAAACCATCGTAGGCGTTTATTATTCGGCCATGATTTAATGTTCATTACATGTTTATTGTTTCCAATCTAATCATGTTTCGTGACCTGTCAATTGGCAAAAAACAAAGATCACAGAATCCACGCATAATCAGTTTGTTCTCAACTGTCCTTTCCCCGCTATACCGACTGTTCACTCCCCGCTATACCGACTGTCCTCTCCCCGCTATACTGACTGTCCACTCCCCGCTATACCGACTGTCCTCTCCCCGCTATACTGACTGTACACTCTCCGCTATACCGACTGTCATCTCCCCGCTATACCGACTGTACACTCTCCGCTATACCTACTGTCCCGTTCCCACTATACCGACTGTCCCGTTCCCACTATACCTACTGTCCCGTTCCCACTATACCGACTGTTCACTCCCCGCTATACCGACTGTCCTCTCCCCGCCATACTGACTGTACACTCTCCGCTATACCGACTTTTCCGTTCCCACTATACCGACTGTCCCGTTCCCACTATACCGACTGTCTCGTTCCCACTATACCGACTGTCCCGTTCCCACTATAGCTACTGCCCCGTTCCCACTATACCGACTGTTCCGTTCCCACTATACCTACTGCCCCGTTCCCACTATACCGACTGTCCAGTTCCCACCATACCGATTGTCCCGTTCCCACTATACCTACTGTCCCATTCCCACTACTCCGACTGTCCAGTTCCCACCATACCGATTGTCCCGTTCCCACTATACCTACTGTCCCGTTCCCACTATACCGACTGTCCAGTTCCTACTATACCGACTGTCCAGTTCCCGCTATACCTACTGTCATCTCCCCGCCATACTGACTGTACACTCTCCGCTATACCGACTTTTCCGTTCCCACTATACCGACTGTTCCGTTCCCACTATACCTACTGTTCCGTTCCCACTATACCTACTGTCCAGTTCCCACTACACCGGTTGTCCCATTCCCACTACTCCGACTGTCCCGTTCCCACTATACCTACTCTTCCGTTCCCACTATACCTACTGTCCCATTCCCACTACTCCGACTGTCCAGTTCCCACCATACCGATTGTCCCGTTCCCACTATACCTACTGTCCCGTTCCCACTATACCGACTGTCCAGTTCCTACTATACCGACTGTCCAGTTCCCGCTATACCTACTGTCATCTCCCCGCCATACTGACTGTACACTCTCCGCTATACCGACTTTTCCGTTCCCACTATACCGACTGTTCCGTTCCCACTATACCTACTGTTCCGTTCCCACTATACCTACTGTCCAGTTCCCACTACACCGGCTGTCCCATTCCCACTACTCCGACTGTCCCGTTCCCACTATACCTACTGTTCCGTTCCCACCATACCTACTGTCCAGTTCCCACTACACCGGCTGTCCCATTCCCACTACTCCGACTGTCCCGTTCCCACTATACCTACTGTTCCGTTCCCACTATACCTACTGTCCAGTTCCCACTACACCGGCTGTCCCATTCCCACTACTCCGACTGTCCCGTTCCCACTATACCTACTGTTCCGTTCCCACTATACCTACTGTCCAGTTCCCACTACACCGGCTGTCCCATTGCCACTACTCCGACTGTTCCGTTCCCACTATACCTACTGTTCCGTTCCCACTATACCTACTGTTCCGTTCCCACTACACCGGCTGTCCAGTTCCCACTACACCGGCTGTCCCATTCCCACTACTCCGACTGTCCCGTTCCCACTATACCGATTGTCCCGTTCCCACTATACCGATTGTTCCGTTCCCACTATACCGATTGTCCCGTTCCCACTATACCGATTGTCCCGTTCCCACTATACCGATTGTCCCGTTCCCATTATACCGATTGTCCTGTTCATTGAAGGTGATAAATAACTGGTCAAAATATATGTACCTTACGTACACGTCTTGCCGTGAAAATCGACATTCGTTTCAGTTAAATGAATCCAACAGACAGTTGGGGCTTGTAATTAAATTACGCGCCTAAAATGGCGTGGCTCTAAGTACTCATTCCTCCGTAAACGACCGTCCCACGTTATAATCTATTATTTTTTTTTATTTCACACTTAATTTTCACTAGTTTTTTTTAACAATTTACATCTTTCAAAACACAGACAGCAATAGAGCGGACAAAGGTTTCTCGTGGAAGTGTTTTGTCTCCAAAATATAAACAATTTAATGACGCCGACAAGTTGCTTGTTGTTTACTGCAAAATATATACAGTATCGGAAGTGCACCAATTATCATATATACGTATTTTACAGTGCATATGCCTAACCGATATTCTCCTGTGGCTGTCTACGATCAATGGTACACTAATCCGGCACGGATTACCAACGTAAGATGGACACGTGCGTATTATGCTGGTTTGATCACAACCACCTGTCAACCTCCATCGCCAATCCCCTTCCCACAAATGGCAGAGGAAGAGAAGAGGTCAGAGGTCGTATGCACTCTTTGTCGATTTTCTGTGATGAGATCAGCGCTAATTTGTTTTCAATATGTTTTAATTTTTAGTTACGCATATATAAGTACAACTTGATCAAGATGTGACCGACATCAAATGTACACGTACTTACGTAATAGTCTGGGTTATCGAGTGTGAACACACTAAATTACTCCAATCAAAACAAGATGTTTGAATATGTGTGAGAATACAACATTCATTGAAATGCATCTGATTTACTATTACATAACACAATCCCCTAGCGATCCAGTAGGTTAGCAAAGACATTATAATGTAAGCGGATTACACCACCCATGTGAAAGGAATGTTTTTAACGGTTACAACTAAAACTTTTAATTGTTAAAACTGTCATGGTGTAACCGATGGAAGGGGTGGTGGTGGTGGGTGGGTGGGCCTTTTTATTATTGTTTTTTCCCAGATAGTGTGGATAGATGTTTTGTTCTCCTTTTAAAAATCCTAGATCCTCATTTGACTGTTCACATGAAACCAGTGTTATTGTTATTTGTTGGCAACTTCTGTGCTGGAACAGCACGTACTCCGATGTAACTCATTCTAGAAATTGTACAGGTAGAGTGCTGGGTCTAACCGTCTTACTTATTCTAGAAATTGTACAGGTAGAGAGCTGGGTCTAACCGTCTTACTTATTCTAGAAATTGTACAGGTAGAGTGCTGGGTCTAACCGTCTTACTTATTCTAGAAATTGTACAGGTAGAGTGCTGGGTCTAACCGTCTTACTTATTCTAGAAATTGTACAGGTAGAGTGCTGGGTCTAACCGTCTTACTTATTCTAGAAATTGTACAGGTAGAGTGCTGGGTCTAACCGTCTTACTTATTCTAGAAATTGTACAGGTAGAGTGCTGGGTCTAACCGTCTTACTTATTCTAGAAATTGTACAGGTAGAGAACTGGGTCTAACCGTCTTACTTATTCTAGAAATTGTACAGGTAGAGAACTGGGTCTAACCGTCTTACTTATTCTACAAATTGTACAGGTAGAGAACTGGGTCTAACTGCGTTACTAAAAAAATGTCAGATGGATCTTTGCACCCATCATCATATGACCGTTATTGATTCTATACAAGTTACAATTTTCTCTTTATACCATTTGTTTTTTTTTCTTTTCCAATCAGCCCAAAAACATTTTGCAGAACTCATAATAAAGAGGAACTCATTCAATTTTTTCCACATGTGTAGCTACCAGAGTTAATGTGTTGGAATTCTGGGACTGATCCACATCTTGATACTGAAGACAATGGTATCTTATGTTAAAATGGCATATATTTAATAGCAAGAACAAATCAATCAGCATATATTTTTCTCTGTGAACAAAGCAGCTGTATTTATATTAGCTGGGTTTCATCTCCTCCCTCTGTATGTAATAACAAAGTCTGTTAACACAGACTTTATTTTTTTTTCTATTTCTAGCAAAAAAGCTGGCACTTTGATAAGCTGTGTGGTCCATGTTTATAATATCCACAAACGGTTTATGGTGTAAGTTCCTGTAGTTCCCAACCATGATAACATTAAGCCACCTGTCAAATGTTCCTGCTTAAGGAAATCAAGGAAGACAGTTAACAAGGAATAGCCAGGACAAGATATAGGTATACACAGACCTGGTTGTGGTGGGATGACCATGAAAGGCACCAGTATGCCCAAACCTGTCCAGTATGAGATGACCATGAAAAGGCACCAGTATGCCCAGACCTGGTTGTGGTGGGATGACCATGAAAGGCACCAGTATGCTCAGACCTGGTTGTGGTGTGATGACCATGAAAGGCACCAGTATGCCCAGACCTGGTTGTGGTGGGATGACCATGAAAGGCACCAGTATGCCCAGACCTGGTTGTGGTGTGATGACCATGAAAGGCACCAGTATGCCCAGACCTGGTTGTGGTGGGATGACCATGAAAGGCACCAGTATGCTCAGACCTGGTTGTGGTGGGATGACCATGAAAGGCACCAGTATGCTCAGACCTGGTTGTGGTGTGATGACCATGAAAGGCACCAGTATGCCCAGACCTGGTTGTGGTGGGATGACCATGAAAAGGCACCAGTATGCCCAGACCTGGTTGTGGTGGGATGACCATGAAAGGCACCAGTATGCTCAGACCTGGTTGTGGTGTGATGACCATGAAAGGCACCAGTATGCCCAGACCTGGTTGTGGTGTGATGACCATGAAAGGCACCAGTATGCCCAGACCTGGTTGTGGTGTGATGACCATGAAAGGCACCAGTATGCCCAGACCTGGTTGTGGTGGGATGACCATGAAAGGCACCAGTATGCTCAGACCTGGTTGTGGTGGGATGACCATGAAAGGCACCAGTATGTGCATACCTGGTCAGTATGGTATGACAAAGGCATACCCAGACAAGGTCCTCTTGAGATGGTCATTATAAGGCACAGGTATACTCAGACCAGGTCCCCGCGGGATGGCTATAACGAGAGACAGGTATATCTAGACCTGGTCCCTGTGAGATGGTCATTATAAGGCACAGGTATACCCAGACCTTATTACCATTGAATGGCCATGACAAAACACAGGTACACCTGGACCTGGTCCCCGTGAGATGGTCATTATAGGGCACATTAGCCCCTGGGGGTCGGTCAGGATCGAAATGGGCATACCGTCAAGCTGTCATCCTTCACTCATTATTCTAACCAAGTCTGAAATATTTCCAATCAAAATAAAACAAATCAATCTAGTTTTCCTATATAAACTGCAGTAAACTTTACCCCTCCCCACAGGGAAATGCGAAACACTGGGGCCATGAAATTCACAAGTTTGGTAAAACACCTTAGCATGCTTCAATTCATATGTATTTGATTCTACCATATCTGGGTCTTGAGAAGAAGATTTTTGAAATCCAAGTCAATTTGACCCATCTGGCCCTGCCCCTCAGGCGTCTTAGGGGTGAGGACTGTATAATTCACAATCTGCAAGATAACACACAGGTATATCTAGAACTGGTCACTGTGGGATGGTCATGATTAGACACAGGTATATCTAGACCTGGTCACCGTGGGATGGTCATTACAAGACACAGGTATATCTAGACCTGGTCACTGTGGGATGGTCATTACAAGACACAGGTATATCTAGACCTGGTTGCTGTGGGATGGTCATTACAAGACACAAGTATATCTAGACCTGGTCGCCGTGGGATGGTCATTACAAGACACAGGTATATCTAGACCTGGTCGCCGTGGAATGGTCATTACAAGACACAGGTATATCTAGACCTGGTCGCCGTGGGATGGTCATTACAAGACACAAGTATATCTAGACCTGGTCACTGTGGGATGGTCATTACAAGACACAGGTATATCTAGACCTGGTCACTGTGGGATGGTCATTACAAGACACAGGTATATCTAGACCTGGTCACTGTGGGATGGTCATAACAAGACACAGTTATATCTAGACCTGGTCACTGTGGGATGGTCATAACAAGACACAGGTATATCTAGACCTGGTCGCCGTGGGATGGTCATTACAAGACACAGTTATATCTAGACCTGGTTACTGTGGGATGGTCATAACAAGACACAGGTATATCTAGACCTGGTCGCCGTGGGATGGTCATTAAAAGACACAGGTATATCTAGACCTGGTCACTGTGGGATGGTCATAACAAGACACAGGTATATCTAGACCTGGTCACTGTGGGATGGTCATAACAAGACACAGGTATATCTAGACCTGGTCACTGTGGGATGGTCATAACAAGACACAGGTATATCTAGACCTGGTCACTGTGGGATGGTCATAACAAGACACAGGTATATCTAGACCTGGTCACTGTGGGATGGTCATTACAAGACACAGGTATATCTAGACCTGGTCACTGTGGGATGGTCATAACAAGACACAGGTATATCTAGACCTGGTCACTGTGGGATGGTCATTACAAGACACAGGTATATCTAGACCTGGTCACTGTGGGATGGTCATAACAAGACACAGGTATATCTAGACCTGGTTATCACAGTATGACTACAATGAGGCACAGGTATACACAGACCTAGTCATTATGGTATGACCCAATTAATGGTTGAAAGGCAATTCTATAAGCCCACTATCAGATGATGATTGACTACCAAACTGACATAACAAATAAAAGAAAGACATACTGAGAAATTAGTCAACCATCCGGTTTATTTCCAACAAATTTCCTGAAATTAGAAAAAATGCCTGGTAATTTCTACTTTGGTGAAAATATCTCTGTAGTATAAAAATTGTAAGCTTCTGTATTTCAGTATCTACAATACAGCCAGACTGTGGTTTATCCAAATATACACATCCTTTCATCTTGATGCAGACAGCATCTGTTGGTTAAAGATTCCCTTAGGAAGTCTACAAACCACTGCCCACACAGAGGGATGTCTACAGCCTCAAGCTTTTATGATCAGTTAGCTTACCATATTTATCCTATGCTAATCCCATCCATATCTACTGCTGTTTAGCATGATTAAAAGCAAATACTCATTGACTGCCTTGCAGCATGTTCACCTCTGGACTTTGTATTTGTATGAATGTAGTGAACCATTACTGATTCAGAAAAATTTCACCATCTTCTATGTGTGTTCCGTCACTCATTCCAAGGAATGCTGATCACATTCTAAATCTAAACTTCAAATTGTTTTAAACAACAGTTGAATGGATAGGGGTGGTGGGAGTAGGGGCTATAATGTAGTACGAAACCAGTCTGATTGAGGAACATAGTTCTGGTTACTATGTGAAAGTAAGCAGTGTATATCTGTTCATACAAAACCTAATAAATTAAATAGCTCGAGAGATTTAACAAGCATAAGACCTCGCAGACAAGGAGTCCCTCCCAACTACTCAAAAGAACCAACAGAAACTGTATTCCTATCTCTCCTCATTATGGAATATCTTATGTTATCACCCACAGGATCTGCAAAACAGGATGTCCACCAAATCCTCTTCAATGTCGGTAAAGTATCAATTCTCCTACAGGAACCTCCCCGACACCTCTTTTTGTGCACAAGTATAACCTCCATTATAGGAAGTCAGTCACAGCCCTCTTGAAAATTCAAAAGAAATTTCTGCTCCAGAGCAGAAAATTAATTTATTCCCTCCATGTAAACAGAAAGTAAATTTCCTCAGCAGGACACATATCCTCATCCTTCCTCAACATCTATAAAAACTTTCAATACAGAAGGCTCCACATCCTTTCCTTTCATTCAGTATTAGAATATAAAAAGTCTCAGCTCTCTTGTGTTTCTCCTTGTACCCATTTAGGTGTAGTTAATGTTTTTTTAATATTTCCACCGCCAGGTGCTTCTTCTTCCATTTTGTTATAGCGTCTTTGGACTTCTAACCATTTCTGTCGCCGATGTAGATCTCCAACTTCCTCCACTGACCCTTCTCCAACATCACCTGACCCAAGTCCTGCTGATCTGTTGGCCCGAAACTTGACAGAGATCTGCAACGGAAATGGGACATATAAACATAAAGACACATGTCAAACAGTCACCCGCATTTCTCTTTTGACCATCCTTACTTAATATCTTTTAATTTGTAAAACATTTATGACTGACTTGGCAATCGTGTATATTTGTGTCTAGAAACTGCAACTGCTGCCCAACTTCTCCATATTGCTTGTTTATCTCACATCTGATATCATTAGGTAGAAATTATGATAAATACATCAATACATAGTTGGCAGAGCTGATAATTGCTATAATGATGAAGTGTCAAATGTACACTTCCTATGTTCCCGATTTCTGTCTAATTTCTATAGCTTGCGATTAATGATGTGAAACATCTGATGTGAGAGTTCTGTTTACGTCTCTGCCAGAAAGGGAAAAGATGCCACTGCCAGAACCTAAACATAACCAGCAAGTGACTATCGCCAAAAACCATCACAGTGCTCATAAAACCCTGAACAGGTCAGAACCAAGAAATCAATGACACCAATCTTAGTGTTTGTTTAACCAGTAAGACAAAACTGTCCCAACTTTACACAAAAAATTGATGTATAGATATACTTGTACTTCCTTAGGTTATACAAGGGCACCTTTACCCAATTGTTCTACCTCAGGACAAACAATGGCTGCAAGACCAATTTGTCCTTCATTAAATGACAAGCAAGGGCGTAAGACCTACTTCTTCACCTTCTTCAAAGGAAAAATAAGGGCAACAAGACCTGAACTTGTCCTTTTTCAAAAGACCAAAAAAGGCATCATCCATCCTTAAATGACAATGAATAACATCAACTTAAATTTCTTCAAATGAAAAACATAGTCCAGGGCAAACTTGTCCTGACTAAGGACATACGAGGGCACAAGACCAACTTCTCCTCCCTGAAATGACAAACAAGGGTGTAAAAACAACTCCACCTTTTTCAAAGTACAAACAAAGACACAAAGATCAACATATCCTTTCTTATGACAAACAAGAGCTCCCAGATCAACTTGACATTCCTCAAAGGAGAAACAAGGGCTCTAAGAAACAAGAGGAGTCTGAATCACTCTCCTGGTTTATTTAGCTATTAAATTATTTAACAAAGATTTTTAAATATAACAAATTATTTCTAAAATAATTTCTGAAATACCCCATTGGGAAGCCGCATTGTGGTCAAACGAAAGTCAGATTCACCATTCTTAAAAATGGCTATATACCAACCTTCAACATTATCCTTGTAAGGAAGAAGAACTTTTCAGAACTTAAATTTCCCCTATAGGACCCCACATCTCTGATGTCAGATTCCTGGTTGATACAAAATAAGTATCTTTCAATAGGCATGCTTCAGATCAAATCGGGACAGAATCAAAGCATTTCCACAGCTCTGCCCTAGTGGTCCCAGTGGAGATCCACCATTTATACAAAACTATTTCCCTTGCTTCAGACCAAATTAGTACAGAATTCTGACATTTCTATGAAAGAATTGGTTTTTTTCAAGAATTTGCTCTATTTCCCCTATTGGGCCCCTATTGGGAGATATGACCCATTTGTACAACACTGATTCACCCTTCACCCAAATATGCTTCAGACAAAATTTGGGTAACATCTGTCCATTCCTTCGGAAGCAGAAGGATTTTACCGTATTTCCCAGGTTATAAACTGCACTGGGATGTAAGCCACAGAACCAGTTTTTAATGAGTTTTTTCTATTTGATCCATATATTAGTCGCACCGCAAGATAAGCCGCACCCTTCTTACAATGATGTAACCTTTAAGTTGACCAAAGTTTGTTAATATAACTGGCAACATAAGACAATTTATCAAGATCGTTGGTGAAATATTTAATGTATGATTGCAAATGAATCCTTTCTTCTATTGATGTGTTTCACAAACGTAAAATAGCAATTATCGAACTTGTTTGGCTTGGAAGCCTACACAGATTGTCTATGCACAGATATAGTGCCTGATGTTACATACGGTTTACTTAACAATATCTCCATCAGTGTCTGCACTCTTAAATAATAGTAAAGGCCCAGGCATGCTGAATAAATTTTTATAGTCCGATATTATTTCTTGTAAGTTACTTGAAGCCATTTTTCTAGAATTTGACCTGATGACCTATCAATCCCAAGATGCAACAGGCTATTGTTAACTTCTGCTATGGTTTCCAAATAAACCACGAAAGTTCAGATGATATTATTGTGATTCATATTTAAAGGCATGATTAATTAAATCCACAAGAATGTTATTTTTATTTCATTCTTAAAATCACCCTGTATACAGTTGCAAATGACGACTCTAGACAATCATCCAAGACCAATTTGTGTATTCATCTTTCATCAGGATACAAAGATGTCATGACCACCCTGTTCTTCCTTATAGGACAAACCAAGACCAATTTGTCCTTCCATCCTTCCTGAGAATGTACGAGGATGCCAAGACAACTTTGTCTTTCCTGAAGCCATAAAAGGGCAGCAAGACCAACTGACCTTCTCGAGGATGAACAGACAAAGCTATTGCCATATAACCCTTCATGAAGAGTGCAACACCTATACACTTCAAATTCATTAAAGGTCGGCTATCTGTTGTTGATTTCCAAAATAGTCCTTTTCCACACATTTCTGAAGAGTTTAGAACAATATTGGGACATACTGTATTAGTTTTCAAGGTAAGGTATTCAAATGTTTTTCTTCCTGAAGTGATATGGCTAATTCACAAGAAAGCCACTGAGTATTAAACATTAAAGCTATAGATAATCCAATGAAGTAAGAGGTACATAGCTGACATAGATGTCAGATCCTGTGGAGACTAAGTTTATATCCAAGTGTGTTTAACAAACTCATAAAAGCAATAGAGTTTAAAACATGCAGGAAGCCAGGATACTTTGGATTGGTAAAATTACATCACTGTAAACATTCTAATAATAGACATATTCAATTTATATTTATTTAAATGTTTGGATATGATATAAGACTACCACAGCGGTAGACTGCATGCCTATGCATGAACAAACGAAAGATTTTGAAAATAAAATTTTATATGCAATATATTGAAAGAAATTGAAGGAGATGACTTCTACCTTTTCATGTTTACCTACATCATGGAGGCCTTGATATCTTTCACATGTACAAGACAATTCACACTCCAACATTTGTTGTAGTGATATTATATATATCTACACTTGTCCAGAATTAAGATCTATCTACTGACAATGTTGTATATAAAGGAAATGTCTGAACGCTGGCCAGAAAACTAACATGCTGATATATGGGCCATTACACTATCTTATATCATTCATGCCAACTCACTGGTAACTACAGTAGTGCTGTACATTCTGATTGGTAGAAAATGCAAACATTTACGTCGTTATTTTTATTGACAACTTCTGATTCATGTGGATTTTTTCCCCCTTAAAAAGAGAAATGAATGAAATAAGCAACGGATAATGAAAGTTGGTCAATGTGGTGCCAAAATAACGTAAAAGTTTTCAGATAAGCTGCAGATGGGGTTCAGCTTTACTACTATACTGGAGGAGTCTGTCCCAACCCATCACTTAGGTATTATACAACGAGCTATGTACTCAGTCACCCCACTACAAGGCCATCATATATCACTATGAATAATTCAACATACCCTGCCATCAATAAAGCACTTGTCATTAATTACAACATTAGAGCTGTGTGTTGGAAGAAACACTGGCCGAGACACGTGTGATCAGCTGAGATCATCAACATATACACCATCAATCATTGTTTTGTAATAGATCAATCTACCATCGATCAAGGAGACATTTGTCAAGTAGATTTATCCAAAGAACATCATCCTATTGTTTGCGGTAAAACCTCATTTACATTGATATGGAAAAGCCGAGATGAAATGACAACTTTTTATACAACTTCAAAAGCACACAAAAGTTATTAGATGCTAATATGATCTTTAATCATCAACCTTACACTTACCAAGATGAGACAATTATTGTGAAAACCTTTTATATCATAACTTCCATCTCAAACAAGTACAATTTACAAACTTCAATGTATGTTCACATTTTGTACATATATTTTTGCATACATTTTAAGTCAGAATGAAATTGCTTCAATTATATATATAAATGATCCCTTATTAAGTACATGAGACCTTGCTACACTGTGGTTATTTTTATAATACAACACTGTCAGTCTGCCTTGTAATATTGACCATTGTAATGTAAAACCTGTAGTTATACAGTCATTACAGCACAGCATACCTTGTTATACAACCTGCATTATAAAGTAAACATTTGTATACTGCCACTATTATACAGTAAAACCATGTTATACTGCCACAATTATACTGTAAAACCATGTTATACTGCCACAATTATACAGTAAAACCTTGTTATACTGCCACTATTATACAGTAAAACCATGTTATACTGCCACAATTATACAGTAAATCCATGTTATACTGCCACAATTATACATGTTATACTGCCACAATTATACAGTAAAACCATGCTATACTGCCACAATTACACAGTAAAACCTTGCTATATGTTGCCACAAATATACAGTAAAACCATGTTATACTGCCACTATTATACAGTAAAACCATGTTATATTGCCACAATTATAAAGTAAATCCATGTTATACTGCCACAATTATACCGTAAAACCTTGCTATATGTTGCCGCAAATATACAGTAAAACCATGTTATACTGCCACTATTATACAGTCAAACCATGTTATACTGCCACAATTATACAGTAAAACCATGTTATACTGCCACAATTATACAGTAAAACCATGTTATACTGCCACAATTATACAGTAAAACCATGTTATACTGCCACAATTATACAGTAAAACCATGTTATACTGCCACAATTATACAGTAAAACCATGTTATACTGCCACAATTATACAGTAAAACCATGTTATACTGCCACTATTATACAGTAAAACCATGTTATACTGCCACAATTATACAGTAAAACCATGTTATACTGCCACAATTATACAGTAAAACCATGTTATACTG